TAGGGGTGTTTCAGTTCTATTTAACATTACATGAAAACTCTTAACATACACGTATCTGCAACTACCTTAGTAGAAAAGAAAATGTGTCTGGGTTTGGATATACATGTCTGCACATGTGTGTGCCTGCTTGGATAGATACATGTATCACAGCCAGCACATCCTCCAGGTCCACAAGTACCTGAGTCCAGAACTACTGTTCTTGTTTGAAATCACACTAAGCCAGTAAATTCTACTAAGGGATATGAAGCACCATATAGCCAGCAGACTGAAATTGATTGATGGAACCCTAACAAATTATACCATGTGTTAGCCCTGTTGAACATTACCATGGATGGCATTTTTTATGCAATGCCAAAAAGATACTACTTCTGAAGACTGTTTAGTAATGCTTGTTTCAGTTACCTCCAATAATCAGATCTTTTTTCTCCAAGGTCTGCCATTTAGTTTGTCCTTTATCAGTACAGATCTTGAAACAGTACAGGGCAATTCTAATTCCTCTTCCACACTAAGTATTTTGTTACTATTGCAGCTGATACGGTCTGCACAACAGACCACATTTCTCCCTGCAGACTTCATCAAGGAGACAAGTATGTCCACACTGCTTAGTGCTAAGCCTGTATCTCCTCAAAGCCTCTTACAATCCCTTCCTGATTTTCATATACAACTATCAAAAATGTTTATAGCTTTTTAGTTCTAAACACCCATGACAGCCCGCCATAGTGCCATTTACACAGCATGGTACTGAGGTTGTATGCTGCATGGCCAAAGCACAAAGACTTCTGAGGCTACACTGCTTATCAGGATAACGCTGGAAGACGGTCTCAGGCGGAGAAATGCAAACTTGATGTGACTACCATTGTACTTTTTGGCTGTACTGGTCCCTGGAGAGAACATGCTGTCAGCTGTGCTCAGGCTGCCTCTTGGAAGGCATTAGCACTGTTCCATGAGGGGAGCATGGAAAGAAATAAAGAAGTTAAGCTGAAATTGGAAACATATTGGCAATCTACTTCTCGTCTCTTACTCATTTTGCCCAAGTAGTTCACATTTAATATCACAAAAACGGGAAAATCAGAACAGTACTTTGCATAAATAAGTTTTGGTTTGTTTTTTTTCCGGCTAGTCCTGGAGGAAAGTTGCTGTGCAGCAGCATTACGCGACTGTGGCCACAAGATGGCGGATTCCTGTCAAATGCAAGCAGGGAGCAATGCAAAGCAAAACAGGTTTTCAGTTTCTCTATCAAAAAAAGCCTTCGTGAGCGCTATAGAGGTAAAGACAACAGCCCTAATCAGAATAATTAAATAGCTAAGTGCTAAAAAAGGCAAATCCTTTTAGCTTCTGGTTCAGATTACAAATTATTGAGGAAAGATATAAAAAAAATGCAAGGGTTTCATATTATGCAGTATATGATTTTGTCTACCTCACATTTTATAGAATTGATATACACTGGAATTACTTTGAAATTATTATAGCTTTATTAAAATCATGTCCTGGGCTCAGCTGTAGCAGTTATTTTTCTCCTTCCGTGACAAATCATTATAATAAGGTATGTTGGGAGTATTTTTTTACAAATGCCAGGAAGACAGAGTACATTGTCCCAAAGGCAGCTATAATGAGGCAAGGATCTTAGTCCAATTTAAACTGTCAAAACTATAAAGTTCTGTACACTGGGAAAAAAAAAATAAAATGCTGTACTGTTTATATTATAGAAGAACCCCCGTCTTACACTATGGAAATGTTTACTGGGTTTTCATGTATCACTAATATAGAATCATAGAAACACAGGATCACCTAGGTTGGAAAAGACCTTTAAGATCAAGTCCAACCATTACCCCAGGACTGCCAAGATCAACACTAAACCATGTCACTGAGGGCCTCATCTATTCACAGTTTGTGGCTACTTCCAGGGATGGTGATACCAGCACTTCCCTGGGCAACCTGTTCCAATGCCTGATTATCTTCTCTGTGAAGACTTTTTCCCTAATATTCAATTTTAACTTCCCCTGGCACAGCTTGAGGCCATTACTTCTTGTTCTATCACTTGTTACTTGGGAGAAGAGACTTGACCCTCACCTCACTACAACTTCCTTTCAGGTAGCTGCAGAGAGCTATAAGGTCCACCCTGAGCCTTCTCCAGATTAAACCCCTCCCAGTTCCCTCAGCCATTTCTCATCAGGCTTACTCTGCAGGCCCTTCACCAGCTCTATTCTCTGGACCTGCTCCAGCACCTCGACATCCATCTTGTAGTGAGGAGCCCAGAACTAAACACAGGATTCAAGGTGCAGCCTCACCAGTGCTGACTACAGGGGGATGATCACTGCCCTGGCCCTGCTGGCCACACTATTACTGCTACAGGCCAAGATGCTGTGGGCCTTCTTGGCTGCCTGGGCACAGGCTGGCTTATGTTCAGCTCCGTCAATCAGCATCCCCAGGTCCTTTTCCACAGAGCAGCTTTCCAGCCACTCTTCCCCAAGCCTGAAGCGTTGCAGGGGGTTGCTGTGGTACAAATGCAGGATCCAGCTCTTTGCCTTGTTGAACTTCATACCACTGGCCACATCCCATCGACCCAGCCTGTCCAGATCCCTCTGCAGAGCCTCGCTACCCTTCACCTTATATGGAAGCTACACCTGGTCCAGAGCCACTTTTCTTACAGTTTCTCGGGTATCAGAATCAACACAATGCAGGGCAAAGCTGTCAGGAAACCATGCATCTTCCCAAGTGACCTGCAGAACTAAAGCTGTAGCTTCAACCTAGGAAAATAAATAGCAGCTAATGTTACCTTACCTTCAATGCCTATCTCCAGCAGCCTATGCACCTTCTGAAGAAAGAAACAGAGGTGATGCCAGACATTAGTCTCACAAAAGCTTGGTGGTGTTTTGTGTTAGTGGATCATTGATCAATGCTCACTTTAGATTTACAGACTAAAAATGAATTATCACTCAACAGAGATGCTGATATCAATTGAGCCAAAAAACTACGTAGGATTGCACCTTCTCATGCATTCTGAACATTAAAACTGGCTTTGCAGGGTTATTTGTATTTTGAAGCCTGTAACGTTAAGCCTTTTTGATGGTGCTGTGGCTGAACAGCCTTAGAAGAGTATCACTATCATTGTTTCTAAAAAACATACAAGTCACCAGAAACATTCTTCTGCATAATAAAATCATCATGTTTGTAATGCCAGATGATTTGGTATTTCTGAGTTCTAGAGGTAAGGTCACTACCACCATATGGTAAGGAAAAATGCAGTCATTGTAAACAACAAGTAATTGTTCAGAAATTGATGTTTTATCATGTATCCCAGTGTGAATCAGGGTCACACTAGTGACAAAGCAGACACCATTTAGGTATATATACATATCATGTGTTAGACACAAATTAATCCTTCCTGCCCACTCACTAGCCCTGGTCAGTCCTCTTAGAGAGTAGTGTTTTCAGTTTGGGTACTTCATGAAAGGTATGGACTCACTGGAGAAAGACCAGAGGAAAATATTAAGAATGCTCAGATACCTAGCAACTATGATGTGGGAGAGAAAACCTGAAAACACTAGAACATTTAGTACAGTAAAAGCTTGAGAGAATCATTACACTACACAAGTGCAAAAAGTAGCTGCAAAGAGGAAAGTGAAGAGTTCTCGCATCCACCAAGAATTGATATGAATTGCAATGACAAAGACTCTGCTCAGAGATGGAAAAATTTGTTTCAATACCAGTGGTGAATGGATCAGATAGGAAAGTCATGGGGCTTTATGATGAGCTTGTACAATCATCTCTCAAGAATGATGGAAATAGAAATGATAGTTCCCCTCTAGAGTTCCCCCTGAGCCTTACTTTCTGCACCAGTTGTGCTGGCCTGGCTCATACACAACTCTCAGGTTTTCCACAGTACAGTGCTGGCTGCAAGAACAGGCAATTACGGGAAGACCCTAGAAACCAACCAAGGGAAATCCTACATTTGTCAAGTTTCCATTACAGGCAGACTTCAGTGAGCGTAAACACGTCATCATGATTACTACTTAAGCACCTGCAGTTGCAAAACACAAATAATAGCTTTGCAATAATTAAATTTTATTAATTCTGATTATATCTTCGTGGTAAGTCACATCAAACTGCAAACTGAACCATGAGGCATTCTTAATTATTTTATTACAGCAATATGAACAGTCCAGCAAAATACAGACTAACATGTTGAAAAGTACCAATATTTTTGTGTGAAGGGCAGGTATGAGAAGGGGAAAACCAAGTGTCTGAACCACCATCACATAGTAGGCCAGGAGCCTGTGGTCTTAGAGCAGTACCTCTCTGAGCAGGCGGACTGATGACTCACCCCACCATTGCCGCCGATGACCATGAGAACCTGAAACTATGCTTCCTAAAGGCAGGCTGAAACTTACTTTTGGGCTGCAGTAGCATTTGTGCTCGAGGGCGCCCGTCTGCTTAAGGCGCTGCAGACAGTGTGCTGTGTTCTACCGCTCCTCAGCTCAAGCTGCCCCGCGGCCTGCCTGCCTTCGGCTGCCCTCAGGGAACTGCTGCCCTCTTGGAGTGATCCCACAGAACCCAGCACAAAGAAAGGCTGCAGGGGGTCTCTAGACCTCACCTAACCAGGGGCAGGCTCTCTGTATCAGCCTCCTGCAGCCGTGGAAGTGCACCAGTCTCAGAAACTTCTTGAGTTGTATGCCATGACTACCTTTAGCCTCTTTTCTCCTTAGAGACCGCGTTAATCCTGAGTAGTCAGTGTTTACACAAATCGCAGCTGCAACACCGCACAGCACACACCGCCTCAGCGGCCAGCGTCGTGGTGTTTACACGAGGCGCACACGAGAGGAAAGAAGGACGCTCAGCTCTGCCGCAGCCACTTAGCAATGGCGGCGGGCGGCAACCCCGCCACTCCTCCTACAGGGTCACCCCGGCGGGTCCCGCCTCAGCACCGTCCCCTCCGAGCACCCGCGTTGGCGCCGCCCGTGGCCGAATGGGGCCCGGGCCGTCCTCACCTGCCTTGAGGCGGGGCTGCCCATGGCGAGCAGGGCCGGCCGAGGCGGGCTGGGCATGGCACGGGTGCCGCGGCACCCTAGCAGCTCATGCGCAATCGTGCGGGGTGGCTGCACTCGGCGGGAGCATGGCGCAGAGGGTGCTGCCGCTGCCCAGGCAGCAGTCATTCGTACCACCCACCGTTCTCAACCCCTTCATCCACCCGAGGCCCCTGAGAGCCACGGACAAGTTGCGGGTAAGGCTGGCGGCGCTGAGGAGGCGCTGGGGTGTGCACTGCCCGGCGGGAGCGGGTCGGGACTGGGGTCGGCCGGAGTGGGGATGCGCATCCGCGGGGCAGCGTGGAGGCTGTCACCCGGCAATGCTGCGCCGGGCGCGGTGCTCGGACAGCTCGTCTAAACCAGCGTTACTTTAGCTGCATGTCTCCAGTGCGGCGTGAAGGTCAGTGGTTGTTTTAAAGAGACGTCCTTCTAGTGGCAGAATAAAAACTGTTCAAAACTGCCGCCTGCTCCGCCGAAACCGCGCTCCCGTCTGACGGGAGCGAGCCCGGGCGGGGCCGGGCCTACTGTACAGCGGTGACAGCCCCGGCCCGGTTGGCGAGGAGACGGCGGCGAGCGCGACGTGACGAGCGCGGCGTGACAGACTCTCCGTTAAACGTTACAGCCCTTGGCTTTTCCAGGAAATGGCATCTAGGAAAAATACTTCCTTCCCACGTACGGCATAATTTGCTTCCTGTTCTAGGCTAGTGACAGAGAGCAGAAAATCCATTGGTATGTAAATGGTCAAAGCAAAGATGCCAAAGGTGTTCAGCCTAAAAAAGGCATTACTTTTTGAAATCAGTTCTTCAGGCTGTCACCCCTCATAGTCTACAGACTGCTTGCTACACAGTTCATCAACTTCAAACTTAGACCTCTAACACAAGATTTGTGACAGGCTTTTGAAAAGATTACACATAACATCTTACTGCTAGAGAAAACAGGAGTCCTGTGTGACTCTGGTTTGCTAACTCTTTAAACCTCAAAAAATAAATACTGTACATCTGTGTGTTGCGTCAGATGACTCAGATCCAGAGTGAAGATGATGATAACTTGTCTCTGATATGATAAGCTAAAATGGAAAATAACTTCTTGCAGTAACCCTGTTTCAGATGCCTAACTCACTTTAGGCTAATTTTAAGCCTGGGTTGGGGGAGAGGGTAAGAGTTAATGCTCTTATTCTGTATTACAGTATGGACAGCAAAAAAAAAAGGTATTCCCAGTTTCATGCACTGATTGGTATCACTGGGTGGACTGCATTAAGCTTCTGAACTGGATAGTGTCGCAGCATAGCTTGTGTGCAAGTGCACACAAGACTTGCAGGGAACTTGTAAAATTAAGGAAGCAAACAGTATTTCTGGGCTTTGATTTTTAAAAGCATTCTCTTTAAAAACAGCTGATGAACCAAATATCTCAGTGAGGACAATGAGGATGTCAGTGTGTAGGTTAACTTAAGCATTTTCTGCTGATCCTTACAAATATCAGAGGCTGATGTGCAAATATGTTTCATATAGCTCTTCTTCAAGTTACAAAAAATGCTTGCCTGAAGGTAGCAGAGTGGAGGAAATGTGAGAGACCTGGAAAACCATTTCAAATCTTTTTATCCCATATGTTTTACTAGCAGCCTCAAACACATTTCATGCCTTTGAAACACTAGCTGTAGGCATGAACCCTTAGGTAACAAAACTAGTCTGTTAATGAGGTTCGAGAAGTTGACAGCTGTCTGTGCTGGCTGTTCTTCCTAGAGGATACACATAGTACTTTCAAAAAGCTTGCAGTTTTAAACTGCAGTTGCCATTTTAGGTACAGTAAATACATCCTACTTTTTTCGTTCAGGAGGAAGGGGTGAAAACCATGATATGTCTTAAGGCAAGATACATGCCATACGTAATTCTACAGTACATGTGGAAGGAAAAGAACCCAGCTGGGCCCAGGTCCGGTGCTGGTGAGCCTTGAAGCAGAATTGCAGTAGTAAGCACAAGAGAGACACCCTTTTTTGTATTGTGCATTTTTCCCTTCTTTTCTTTTCCGGCTATAGTTATAGAGCCTAGGATGCTTCTTACTCTCTGCTTTATCCTGCAAATACCTGCTCCTCTCTTGCCCAGCACTGCATACTGGACCACCTGGGAATCAAGAGCCTTACCAGGAGTGTTACTATGAACTTCAAAAAGGGAAGTGTCCTTTCTCTTCACATTTAAATCAAGTGTAATATTTGTCCGTTCATGCGTGTTAAAGGATTGTTACATCCTTCGTATTCTATACCTGAACCTTTAACATACACTGATAAAAACAGACGCAGTTTCAAAATCCTCTGGGAACCCAAAGCTGGTTGGTGCAGTCCTTGAGTGTAAAAGCTACTGTCCCCTAGCGAATGGAGCTTGAAAGAGAGACAGGCTTGCTGTTTGCATGTCATGCAGCTTCAAATATAAAAATAGGCTGTAGCCAGACTGAAAAGTGGAGAAGATTTTATTTTTTTTTTTACCAGTCCTCGTGTCACTAATAGCTTGTATTGTTAATAGTTTACCAGCAAATATGATTTTTGGTGATTCCGAATGGGGCAGAAGGTTCTCTGGATAATAATTCTGTCTTCATGATTACTGTAAACAGAAGTTGGAGCAGCTCTGATCATACTTAGTACTTACTAAACTTTGAACCTGTATTTTTTTCTGTATATTTTTCTTCTATATTTTTCTAGCCCGCCTTGACCTTTCTCTTTTCTGTCCTTTTCTTACCCTACTATGCATGGGGCAGAAATCAGCTCTGCCTCATTACACAGTGACCTAGAAAGCCAATAGCTTGCATCAGCAAATCAGTACCACCTGCACATCTGCCTAAAACAGACTGATGAATTTATTAAAGTTTTGAGGAAGGGATTGGTTTGCTCTTGCTATTGCATCCTTTATTTTTCGTTGTAGGTCAGTGCATATATATTCTTTTCTCATAAGGTTATTTTAAGTCAAAACACTGATTTATGCTTATGCTGCCCATTATGGATATCTGAGTGCAGTTGAAGTGGGACTATAGATCATAGTACAAAAGGATGCATATGGAGAAAAAAGGACACATCTAGTTTTGGGAGGCAAGCAGGGTGTCTTGGTTGTCTTGACTTGCTTCCTGAGTTTTTCAGATTCACAGTAACTGGCACCAAAGAAACTGGGAGCAGTAGATCTCCAAGACCAAATCTCTCATACCCAGCTACTGAACCCATTTCTGTGATCCAGAGCAGTCCTGCTCCTGTTCTCTGTGAAGTTATGGTTAAAATTCCATAGCTAGTTATATACAATTGTTATAGAGAAGGAGGAAATAGTCATACCTAAAAGTTCAGATCTCTCCTGGAAACGTATGTCAGTGTCTACAGAACATGAGCATCGACACTGTGACCCTGCTTCTCATGCTTATCCTCATGTGCACTATGTATCTACTATCATGTTTGGTCTGTGCCTTTTCTAATACAGAGCACAGTCCCAAAGGCCCAAAATCCTTGTTAATCCTCATCAGTATCATAGTACAAGTATGTAAGATGCAAGCTATTTTGTAAAACTTACTTATTAATAGGCTTGCTTTTCCTGTACAGCAAGTAGCCATTGGTGAAGAGCTGACTAGAAAGGCTGATTTGGAGAAGGGAGCTCTGTTGTTCAGTTGTAAATTTTCTTTAAAAATGGTAAAGCATAAAAAACAGTAGGCTCACAAGCATAAGTTAAAATTCTTGAAAAACTACTCCCATATTTCTGGACACTGGAGCTCTCAGTATGGGACCAATGATGATGCACTCTCATTGAAGTTTTTGAGGGACTTTTGGTTAAAACATAGCCCAAATACAATTCAAAAAACACACAGACCTTATCCTCATCAGTGAGTGGTAGCTGAGTTGGATGAGGTGCCAAAATGAGTTTGAACCATTTCCTAGCTTACCTTGATTGCCAGGCTGTGACTTCTGCAAGCTGGCACCGCTTACCTGCCTCACAGAGACCCAGTCTTGCTCAATCTGCATAGCGCTGTGTTGTGCCATACAGGCCAACCTTCAGGATATGGTTTCTAGCCTACTCTACTGCTGTGAAACAATTAAGAATTTCTTCCTGCCCTGCCCCACAGCTGCCTGTTAACAGCCTTGTGCCAATACACCGGCTTCCTGGAGCTGTGCAGGAACAAATGTAAGCTAAAAATTCCTTATGGGGGGACTGGGGATGATATTGGAGGATTATTTGCACCAGGGCATGTTAGTGTTTCTCTTTCCCTCCACTCCCCTTACAAACATATGTGAAGAGTTGAAGAAGCAGTGAACAGACTTGGATACATTTTCTACTGCATTTGCTGCCTACCTTGGATGTCTGTGACCCTAGCACAGCTCTCAGTATTTCCTTTGCTTCAAGTTAAAGCAAGCTAATAACAGTTTCCTGATTGCAGGGAGGAAAGAGAACTAAGCTTTCTCAATTTATTCCGAAAATTTCAAGGAGCAAGGGGGTCCTAGTAGAGAAGTTAATATCCAAGATGCTTAAAACAGGAGGCAATAAGTTAATCTGCATAATCAAAAGGGTTCGGCTGTATGTTACAGTGGGCAGTGCAAACCACTTCCAAAGGCAATGAGCCAAGAACTACTGCAGCAGCTTCAACAGCACCATAACGTCTGAACCTTTGCCTTAAACCACAGGTTCAGTTTTACTGAAAACTCCAAAACTTCCCAACCAGAGAAATGGTGTGTTGCATGTGCACTATCCCAAGCAGCAGCAGTGAGGATCACTTGCAGCAATACAGTGACTCAGCACAAGATTTGCCATTTTGAAAAGACAAGAGTACATTTTAGTCATCCTAACAATCCCACTTGGCTTCTAGACAGGCAGCTAATGACAGAAAGCTTGGTAGTGGAGATATATATCAGCTGGGCAGATTCATCCAAGTGTATGCTGTATGCTGCAGACCAAGTCTAACTATAAGCGAAAGCCAGTAAACTCCCTTCACCCTCTCTGTCTAACAACATCCAGGCCAAAACCTTAAATACTCAGATGTTTCATTTTTACCAGAAATGGGAACCCAAAAGTGAAAATGAAATGCTGTGAATGACCAACTTCCCATATGAACACTGGCATCATTAATGCTTTCCTTACTACATCACATAGCAGTAGCAGTAGTATTTTCAAGTACATAAAATGTAATTACACAGATAGTGTCATTTCTTAACATTTTCACTGATTTTTTCTCCCAGACTGTTCTTCAGGGGACTGTTTTGCTGCCCCTCCGTGCCACATGCATGACATTCATTATACTGCTAGCATGGCTGTTTGCATCAATTGCAACTTTCCAGCACCCCAGAAAAGGATCTGTGCCATTGAAAGGATGGAGGAGGTAAAAAGTGACTTACGTGTTTTTGAAAACTGTGGTGTGTTTTTCTATTTATAACACAAAGCAAGGGACTATATCTTTTCCTCCCCCACCATCTCCCTCACTCCTTTCCTTCTTTCTTCTGTCATATCCTAGTTTTACCCATTTAGGTTAAGCAACATTGTGATGAGTGTATTTTACAGTTTGAGCAGAGCATTTTAAATAGAATCATAGAATAGTTAGGGTTGGAAAGGACCTAAAGATCATCCAGTTCCAACATCCCTGCCATGGGCAGGGACACCTCAAACTAAACCAGGGCATGCAAGACTCCGTCCAACCTGGCCTTGAGCACTGCCAGGGATGGAGCATTCACAACTTCCCATTCCAGTGCCTCACCACCCTTACAGTAAAGAATGTCCTCCTTGTATCCAAACTAAACTTCCCCTGTTGAAGTTTTAACCCATTACCCCTTGTCCTGTCACTGCAGTCCCTAATGAAGAGTCCCTCCCCAGCATCCTTACAAGCCCCCTTCAGAAACTGGAAGGCTGCTATGAGGTCTCCACGCAGCCTTCTCCAGGCTGAACAGCCCCAACTTTCTCAGCCTATCTTCATACGGGAGGTGCTCCAGTCCCCTGATCATTCTTGTGGCCTCCTCTGGACTTGTTCCAACAGTTCCATGTCCTTTTTATGTTGAGGACACCAGAACTGCACACAATACTCCAGGTGAGGTCTCACAAGAGCAGAGTAGGGGGCAGGATCACCTCCTTCAACCTGCTGGTCACGCTTCTCTTGATGCAGCCCAGGATACACTTGGCTTTCTGGGCTGTGAGTGGTCACTGAAGCCGGCTCATGTTCATTTTCTCATCGACCAGCACCTGCAAGTCCGTCTCCACAGGGCTGCTCTGAATCTCTTCTCTGCCCAAGCTGTAGCTGTGCCTGGGATTGCTCCCACCCAGGTGTAGGACCTTGCACTTGGCATGGTTAAGGTATATAATAGGTAGATTTTCAATTGCCTTGAGGCTGAAAAATATATAAAAACCTTTATAGATTATTTCTAAGTCAGTACTTATTTTAGTAATAATACTGATAAGAATATTTGACAAAAGAAATTCATTAATAAAAGTACTTGGCAATGTTACATAGGCTGAGTTTTTATGTAGCCTTTGTCATTCCTGCTATGCTATAATTTATTACAAAATTAGCTTTGACAACTCCTCTCTCAGGTATGTTGCCCTTCAAGGAGTATTCTGTAGCTGCCTCTGTGGTTTCTGGGCTTCAGTTGCTCAGCTTCTGACCTCAGAGTAATGAAGTTCCCTTCTAGCTGCCATGCACTGCCACTATGCACAGGAGGAGGAAACACAGGAAACAAATTCTAACAGGCTGAGAGGTTATGGAGAGTCCCATGAAGGGAACATATCTTGCACAGAGGGAGCTTGTTCCAGTAAGGGAACACTGTCATTTAATCTTACTTGTTTGAAACTGATAGTAAAGGACAGTATCAGAGACACCTAAGTTCTTACCAAAAGATACTGGATCTGCTAATTACCCACCCTGCCCTCACAACAGTGTTATGATACAATGCTATAAAATATGGGAAAAGAAATAGAGTACCTGGGAGGAGGGTTTAGCAAGGTGCTGTATATTGCCTTAACTTTAAAATTATAACCTAGTTTCAACATGAATAGATGAATGTTCCCTTCCCTATGTCTAGTTTCTTCCCCATCAGCCCTACAGTATTCCAGGCTCTAGTACTGGTATCATGTGCCTGGCCCCAGTGCTGGTGAGAACTAGGAAATCTTTTATGGGCCTTTCTTTTAAAGTAAGAAAGAAATACTAACTGTAAGCTTTATGATGTTTTTGTGTTTCTGTTTACAAGGAGGATGATCCAGATAACCCTCTCATGCCTGACTCGTACCTTGTTCTTCGTAATGGGTTTTCAAGTTAAAGTAAAAGGGAAAATAGCAACTCCACAGGAAGCCCCAATCTTTGTTGCAGCTCCTCATTCAAGCTTTTTTGATGCCATTATTTCTGCTCTAACTGGAATGCCATCGGTAGTGTCTAGAACAGAGAACCTGTCAACTCCAGTATTTGGCAGTAAGTATTTGTGAAAAAATAAAATGTTAGAAGTCAGCAATTTGACATGAGGCCAAAAATCTCTCTGAAAGCGATTTATAGTTAGACTTTCTTAAATCCTTAAATTCCAAAGATATTGACAGGTTGGCAAATTATTTCCAGTGAAATTCCTGTGACAAGTTATCTTTCTGAATTGGTCAGAATGTCTAAAAGTATGCTACTTCTTTTCAGATGTGAAATACAATGTCTTCAAGTTTGAAATACAAATCTTCAATATGAAATACAAACTTAAAGTTTGCTTTATGCTGAAAGCATGTTTCATAGCTGCTCAGGCTAGAAGCCTTATCTTAAAATTCTCCCAGTAGGTAGCTTGAGAAATCTGTTTGACTGCTGTCTTTCAGCAGTGTGTCCCACAAACGTAGAACATGGGTTAGTGAAGGTTATTTCAAAAGCAGACCCAAACTGCAGCAATCTGGAAAATACCATATCTGTAAGTTTAAGCTTGCAGGCATTGTTATGGATTATTTTTTTTAATGGGAGTCAAACCGGAAAGGAATGAAAGAGGAGTTACTGAAAAAGGAAACACAGAGAATGGAACAGATCAGATGACTCATGCTTCTAATATTTTCTCCTCCTTTTGGCACAGCAAAAGAATCCCTGTTTATTACTAGAATCAGCTGTAGACTTTCTGCTGGCTATACAGTAAACCAAAACTAAAATCAGTAGACAACATAGAGAAATGTCCTTGTAGGAAATAAACTAACTGATAACATACCTTCTCTTAAAAGTACAGGACTGGGACAGAAAAGACAATCCTTCCCAAAGAAGGATTTCTTATCACATTTTAATCAGTCCTCACATTCTGATGTGGGCTTCTGTGTGAGGGCATTTTTTCTCTGTAATTTACACAGAAGCAGTGCATGTTTTGTAACTAAAAAGAGACATCTTACTTTTTCAGCATAGGCTCAAATGGTTGAAGTCTGGATGAGTTAGGTCTGAGTGTGACCCTTGAGCAGATCAGGTCTCTTCCTCAGAATTATGTGGAAGTGCTTAGTGAAAAATAACTGCAATATTAGCAGAATGTGTTTGCCTGAATTTGGCATGTTTATACCTACTGTACACCTCCTCAGCTGGGAGTATAGGTGTGTCTTCTCTTTTGTGTCTTTACTTCTTGTTTTGCAGCGAGAACAGAAGAATATGGACAATAATAACATTCTTCTCAGCTATTTAATCCGAAAGCTATTGTGCAGTTTGTCTCCTAATATGAGAATAACAAGTTTTTGCTACAAGAAAGCTCTGAGCCCATGTTTTTTCTAAGCACTAGTATAAGATAAATAAAAATGTTTCTCTCTTTCACAGCAATTTTAAGTTCCCTTCAGCCTATATCTGTTTCACGTCAAGACCCTGATTCACGGAAAAATACAGTCACTGAGATCACCAAGCGGGCATTATCAGGAGGCCAGTGGCCACAGGTATAGATATACTACTGCATCATGTATTCACATTCCATATTCACTGTGCATCATGAAATCATGAGTGCCCAGCTGAATAGGATTCTGTTTGGTGTATGAAGATGAAGCCAGCTGTCAGGTATATGACTGGTTTAGGAAAGGAGGACAAGGCTGGTTCCCAGAAAGTTTTGTTGTCACAAATGGGTCAGCTAAAATCCAGCCAGTACCAATTGCTGTTCCAAATGCAGATGCTCTTGACTTCCTTCCCTGCTCAGGTCTTAACATTCTGTCTTTAGTGTAGCAGATGACTTGCATTAGTATATGTGAATGAGTATTCTCATGCATGATCTAGCTATGTTGCTATCATAGCTATGATTCTCATGCATGGGAAGCTGTTTTGCAAAGCTGTGCTTACAACAGTTGGGAGATGAGTAGTTGCTGAAATCGGTTACCCAACCTGTCCAGGGTCCATCACAAACAGTACTTAACCTTAAAACATCAGTTTCTCATGTGGAGAATAGGTGAGGTGAAGCTCAGTTTGCTCTTTAAGTTAATAATGTAGTAGTTACTGATTCTGCACAGCATTTCCCATGATCATTCCTCAGCAGCAAACTGCTGTTGTGCTTCTAGCTCTTGGATGGCCTTCCATTCCAAAGAGCTGACGGAGCAGGGGTTGCTCAGGAGGTGGAAAAGTGTTGAGGCAGCATCTCTGCTGATTTTATGGGGGCAGGGGGCTGGGATGGAAATCTGCATCCTTTGCAAGAAGAGAGACCTGGAGCAGTTGTAAACCTACTGCTATCTCATTTGGCACTGCCTGCCTACTTTTTTCTGCATTCACTCTGATCTCATGATGCCTTCAGATATTACAAATACAGCACACCATTGCCACACTCTGGGACAGCTAAAGTCAGTGATATAATACCTTTCTCCAAAGATACCCTGTGCAGATCTGTGTATAAACCCATGCTTTGTGTTTTGAATTATAGTTCTTTACTTTTTTCCTTAAGGGTTAATTTACTTGAAATAAAAACTCAAAGTTACTGATGCAGCAGCTAAAGTCTCAAGAACTCTTTAGTCATAGTTGGATGCATCCTAAATGACTCAGAAAAGTTAATTTTCCCTTCACTTTGTTCCAGTGAGTGGCTCTTGAGGAAAATTAAAGGAAGCAAGTGAAAATACAGACTTCAGTAGTAGGTGTCTTTGGCAGCTAGACCTAAATGCACTGCTTTACTTTCTGAATAGTCTCTAGAAACAAAGAGCATTCAAGTAGGGAAGACTAACACTTGCCACCTTTTCTTTTTTTTTTTTTCAGTGGCATTTTTTAGGCATATAATGCCTCATTTTTACTTAGCAAGCACCTTATAAAAACTTTTTAGTTTGTGTTTAGGCTACTTTAATTTGACTCATAAATGCATTTTTGTAAGCTGCTGTAAATATCTTTAGAACCTCCTTTTTTTTTTTTTTCAATTTGTTGCTTATATGGAGGATTTTCAATATGCACGTGACAAAGCTAGGAAGGCTTGTGGCTTGGGTTTTTAATACTGTGCTTATAAACTACACTGATGCTTATGATTTTCTAGGCTGTTATGGATGAAGTGATTCCAGCAAAGCCCTGGTAAACATAATCTCTGCTGAAAACAGCCTGGGAAGGAAAGGGGAATTGGCTGTACACCAATACTGCACTTGGGATAAAACTAGATATGTGTTATGGCATAAATGGTCTATGAGTCAAGTAATCTGGGGATCTCCAAGACTGAACCAGCAGTACAGCTGGGGATGTCACTGAGTGACTCCTGTCCCTGTGCCCTGGTCACACCTTCCTCCTACTCTGTTTTTTTAATTGAAAAACTTGGCCACAAGATGGTATCTCTCATATCCTCTTCAGAGTGCCTGGGCTGCATTCTCTTAGCAGAACAGAAAAGGAAAAGTAGCTCGACTCCTTGTTGCCTCCTCCTAAAACCAAAACACAACAGGCTGGGTAGAACTTGTGCTTATTAATAACATGAGGTTCTGATTAGTGCTTCTCCCAGCCCTTCCAACCAAAGGGGAAGAAGGGAATGATTACTTACTCTTTGATCAGTCACTAATATGTTTAATGGGGCTCATGACATATACCCATTTTTGTGTCCATAGCTCCAGCAAACAGTTTCCGGTTACAGAATTTGTAGTTGAGGACTAACTGTAGATAAGTATGTGCAGCTGTCTACTTCATGCTTTAGAACACCCTGTGTCTCTTGGATTCAACCTAATTATGCCTTCTGTCATCTAGCCTTGACCTGTTCATTTAGACTGAAGTAGGAGCATACCTTGAACACTGCTCCAGATCAGTTCTTTTGCTGAGTTTTTTCTGGAGTCCTGCTTATGATCCTATGTTGATATGAGAAACACAAAGCTTCCTGGCATTCCACAGGGGGCTGGGATTCAGTGTGTCACATTGCAGCTCAGTGTGCATCTAACATAGTTATCTTTCAGGCACAAATTCAGAAACCTTCTGGGTATTTAGTGTGTCTGAGTCATTCAAAAGTGATGTTGTGGTATGTCGGAGCTCTGCATCACAGATGCACATGGTCTCTGGCTTCTGCTGCTACCCCTTAAGCTGTGATCTCATCACAGCTAACATCTTACTCATGTTGATAGCATCTGTGCCTGCCAACACTCATGTCAGCCCAGACTCTTGGTGTTCGTACACCAGCAGTTCAACAAGGAGCTGTCAGCAGAGGAACAATTCTCATATCATTGCCAACACTAAAACATTTCAGGTGAAACACTAGAAGTCTTTTGTATCATATTTCTGAACTGATAAAGCCTTTCTGTAGCAGTCCTCTCTCACAAAGCAATTTTTTACAAATCAAGATGGATCAGCTTAATATTACTGTGAGCATCCTTCACTTATTGGTTCATTTCATTCTGAAACAGATATTCTTGATGCAAGATGTGATGTTAGAGAGGTTGCATATAAAGTCAGCCTTTATGTAACTGATGCTGAAGTTTAATCTTTTATAAAATATGTGTATACATGTATTTCTTTTTCTTTAAATCCAAGATACTGATTTTCCCAGAAGGCACCTGTACAAACCGATCTTGCCTGATAACATTTAAACAAGGTAAAAAGATTTTGTTATGTCGTTGTTGGAAAATAGTGTGAAATATTAATTTGATAGTTTTAGTAAGACCTATACTTCTACAGGTGTATCACCCACAACATCACTGTAGTGATATCTTACATTATTAAAGTTTCAGTGGTACTAAACTCACTGTATACTATTCAGCTTATTTTTCTTTTTTTTGGTATTTTGTAAAAAATTTTGAAAAATTTCTCTTGGTGTATGTGGTTAGTTGGTTGGGTTTTTTTCTGTGTACAGTTTTCATCTGATTTACTTACCAAGAAACTTGGCTGTGATTACTGCCAACATACATGCTACTTATGGTGTTCTTTTAGCTCAACTTACAGTCACACCATCTTAGATTCCTGTAAATTTTGCCATGCAAGACTTAGCAACCAAATTATGAAATCTCTTTGCGTAGTGCTTAGCAAGGGAGGTCAATAGATAGTTTTTAACACAGAAAGGTACTTGGTAGTATCACTGATCATTAGACTGTTGTGCTGTACATCAGCTAAAGCCATGGTACTCTCCTTTCTTACTGTTGTATAGTGTCTTAGGTAGCAAAGTTGCAAAACCGGTACTATGTTCCCAGATCCACATCACTTAGGAAGATAATCAGAACAGAGAAGGGTTTAAGACATGCCCAGAAGCCCTGGGAGCACCGAATCCTTTGAAATGACTGCCAGTGAACAGAGAGATAATACACAGAAAATGAGTTTGAATAGGCAGCTTTCTCCTTGAAATGGAGACTAACCCTTTTCTGTCCTAACAAAAATGTTATGCTAGTTACGCAGCTGATTAAAAACAAAGCCCTATGACAGAAAGAACATTTCTCGTTCTTCTTGTCTTTTTAAAAATTTCTGCTTCCAGATACCATGTCTTACGTGAATCACTTAGAACTCCCAACTGCTTTATTAAGCTTAGTCTTCACTAAATTCTAATCTGTGGTTGCAGGTGCCTTTGTTCCACAAGTCCCTGTGCAACCTGTGTTGCTCCGATACCCTAACAGGCTGGTAAGAAGAACATTCTTCTGTCACTAACTAATAATACAGAAGTCAAAATCCTGACTTAAACAGTACCTATGATAAATATTTTGCACTGTCATTGAACAATCTGTGTTCTGAGCTTTAGCATTGGAGACCTTCTGGAAGCAGTTCTTCACCAAGTGACACCATGGTGTAGATGCTATTCTGATTGTGGAAAAGTTACGTCTGGTCTTCTTAGCTATAGAGGGAGCATGGGAAAGCATTGCAGCGGAAGTTAGAAACTTCCTCCAAAGTCACAGAGCTTGGACTTTGAAGTCTAAATGGCACACAACTTCCCTACTAGTCATCTTTTTTGGTTTTTTTTAACCTCAGAATATTCTTAGTGCAAAGGGAGTTTCTGAACAAAAGCGAAGTGGAGCCATACAGAGCACCCCTCCTGCATGCCCCTCAGGAGGGCAGCTTTCAGAACGGTTCTTTTCATGCAGTTTTCTCTTGTTTTGTGAGTAAATCTTTACCCTTTCTGCCAAGCATAAGGGCTACAGAGGTAGCTTGCCTGGCAGGCATAATGCTGGCACAGGAGTCTAGCAACTTGCTAACTTTAATTATCTGGTCAGCCAACAAATCAAGCAAAGACCAAATTTTTCATTCCTAATGGTTTTTAAGATGAAAAACAAGTGACTGCTATTGTTGTTGTTATTTACAAAGATTCCTTTGTAGAATCCTTCTATAGATGAATTTCAAAACTGAAGTGAACCACTAAAGGTACTGCATTTCACTGATAGACCCAAGGACCTGCCATATACATTGTAAAAATTAGATATCATTAGTAATAAACATAGAATAAGTAAAAAAAAAAAAAAAAAAAAAAAAAGCATGATGTTGTTGGTATTATCAAAATTCTGCCATGCTTATTTCCAAATTTTTAAATCAAGGAATTCTAATTACCTTTACACCTTTCTTTATTTTCACTGCAGGACTGTAAAACTGTAAAACTGTTTTTATTGAACTTGTGCCTGTTTTGTATCGTAACTTTAGCTCTCTAACTTTCATCTGGTTATGTCACTCATTTACATGTTTTATTTTTTTTCCTAGGATACTGTGACCTGGACATGGCAGGGCTATTCATTGTAAGTTTCTTAATCCTACTCAAAATTACGTTTAGAATTTTTTCCCCCCGTTTCTAAACAGTCTGCTAAACAGATTCAGCTAAGCCAAGACACGTGTTCTTCTAGATCTGTTTTTATGAGGGGAAATACTTGGGGATAATGCTGTCATGCAGTAGATTTCATATCTGAATGGCTGAAAAAAGGGTTTGCAAATGGGGAAGCATTATTTCCAGCTACCATTTAACTTAATTTTCTTCAATGTTTTGCATATTACACTAGAGCAAAACACAGATTTAAAATTCTTTGTCCTTTTGGGGGAAAACATATAATCATTAAAATCCAGTTTCCTATGTGATATACAAGAAATAGCAATGTTATTTTATCTCCTCTGTTTATTACTCCATCTTATTTGAAGTCATATGAGAGCAAATGGAGAAGATAGGCTAAACAGTGTTTATTTTCCCTGCTTTCCCCATGTAGGATTCTTCTTTAGATTTTTATTTTTGCCTGACTCAACAAAAGCAATTGTTTTGAGATCCCAGTGAAGAGGCTAAATATATAATATCTGACAATGAAATAATGAAAAATATTTCCATAAACCAGTTAAGCGATGGATCTGTGTTTATTTCTCAACACAGGTGGCCTTCTACTATGCTAAAATATTTTATTAAGGCATTAAAAAACCTTTACAGCTGCACTGAAAATATGTCTGGAAAATACTTTTCACTTTATAAACATTCTTAAAAGGTGCATTTGCAGAATCCATATACCACATGAAAATTTATTTACTACATGACTGAGTTACTAAGTGACTAAAATTTTTAAGGCAGCTAATATTGAAACATGTCTGAAGTGGTGGAGTACATCACAAGCGCCTTTTAAGTTATCATTAGTTACTCCTAGCACCTGCACACTTAGAGAATGGGAATTCTGAAAGCTGACCTAGATGAAAATGTCCACCTTGGTGTCCCATGATTTTTTTGCTATTATTATTACTGCTGTTATAGTTATCAACATACTGAGAGTAATGAGCACTGAAAATTAAATAGCATACTGCAGATTTCCTGTATGAGGGATTTATGCTAGAAGATTGAAAAGGGCTTATGAGAGATGATGAAGAAAATTAAATCAGAGGTATTCCTGTGGCAGGGTGGAGGTGACCCATGCACTAAAAATTGGGAAATGCTTTAAGCGTAGTGGCTGGATGAAGAAGGCTCAAAACCTGTAAGAAGGCAAAAGGAATGGGTTGACAAAATTGTGTCAAGAAAAGGGATGGCTGGGTTAGAATCTAGAGTTTCTTAATAAAAATAACGGGAACTGGGAGAAGAACATCCCCTGCACAAACCTGCAGAGCACAAACTCACGCTTTTTGTAAAGCTTCCTGGATACTGTAGTCAGGATGGGACAGCACCAGTCTCCTCAGAAACCACCTACCCCAGTTTCTGCTTTCACAGTGAAAAGAAAAGTCAAAAGTGGAAGTCATTATACTTACCCTCTTCCGCAATTTCTTTCTCAACCTACATCTTGATACTAAAACGTGTGACTTCTTGTAAAAGCACTAAAGGTCCTGAACATACTTCATTAACACATGTGTAAACATTACCAGAACTTGCAAAATGGCTAGCAAATACTAACAAATCCTTGCTTCGCTGCTGCAAATGGAGGTCATATTTCCAGATGAGAGAGTAAAAGATTAAGTAAAGCTACTTTGGAATCAAAGCTCTTAGAGCTGTAAAATCCAGTGTGTATTCACCTCTTTTAAAATAAAGCAACATACATTTGGCTGGCCAAAGAACTGTATAGTATTGTTAATCTGCATGAGAACAGACAAAAGATTGCCTGCCCAATGGGCAAGCAGCACGTATATGCAGAAGCCCTATAGAAAAATATCAAAAGCAACATTTCAGTGAACTTCGCTGCAGGGTACTTCAAAAGCACCCAATATCAGCTATGCTTTTGTTTATGCTTTAAAAAGTTTTGTGTACTTATGTTCAAATACTTTGGTTTTAAAAAAGTAAAATGTATTTTTCTTCCTTTTTCTCTTTGCCTGCAGAAAAGAGCTGTGTGTAATGACGCTGTGTCAGCTCTTCACAAGAGTAGAAGTTGAGGTAAGAGTTAGAAATGTTTTTGTACTAAGATTCAGTGACCATGAAATTTGTGTTTTAATATAAATGCATTATTTACATTATTAATCCCTGTTAGTGAGTGACAGATGTCTCCGAAACAAGAACAGAATCACAATAATATATTTAGATTTCTTGTCCTTATCTGTGTATCACTTAATCTGATGAGTTCCTAAAAGAAATCTGTCATAAACGCCTTTATTCTTAAGGCATGTAAAATCACTGCTAATTATCACCACATGCATTTTACAAATGTTAAAAGTAAGAATTAGAAAACGTTCTGTTAAAGGTAACAACTTATTTTTCCCACCATCTCATTTCCCCGCTTCCTTCAAAATCTCCTTGTCTTCCTCACCATCTTTCTAGACTGAACTGTAAACAGTTTCCCAGCTTACTTAAGGACCAGTACTTCTTCTGAGCTTGTGTAATGAACTGTTTCCCTTGATCATTAGAATCGGATGCATAGCACAGAGAAAGATGAATGATAAGTGAAACATACACCCTTCCTATCAGTGAGTTTACCCTAACTGCTCCCTGTCAACAAGTCCACGTTTGAAAAACAGTAGTGAGGAGCCAGATAACAAAGGTGCTACTGGGTTGTGTAAGTGTTGTACTTCACATTCCTGACTAGACCACAAAGGGTTGTCAGTGTGGACTAACTTGGTTTAGGGATCTAAGGAGTGGGAGGAATTCACGCAGCTGCTGCTGTTTATTTGCAAAACACGGAATTTAGCAAAGTTGTGCAAAGCTTTGTAAATACAAGCAGTGTTGCTACTATTAACAGTAATATGGTCTTTGTTGTGAAACAATGAAATTCATTTTAAGGAAGCACCTTGTTACTGTACAGTACAGGCAGTAGTCACATATTTTTAGCAGGTGTACAAAAGAGCTAATTCTCCTAATTATTTTGTATAGAAGGACATATTTATCAAATTTGTATACGTGGGAAGAAAGAAAGTTAAAGTAGCCCTTCCAGTAGAGGTTTATTTTCCCCTACTTCAGAACAGAACTCAAACTTGCCTATTAGAAAACAAATTTCATGTTCCAAAAGATGAAACTGAAATATGAAAAACATGCAGCTTTCACAGCAGCATCCCCAAAGTGGAACTAATTTCTTAGCATCAGTTCAGGAGTTCTTCCATTTGTAGAAAAAAAAGAAGGGGCGGTTTTGCCTGCGAAAGAAAGGAATCAAACTACTTTTAGGAGTGGACATTTCTGTTTCTGTCCCATACTGTGAGCAAGCAGCCTCTCCACTCCCATCAGTCTTGCGCTGCCTCTACCTGCAGTGCATGATCAGCAAAGGGCTCCTCTAGTCCATGTGTGTGCATGTCTAGTCATGTTCTAACAAACTGGGGGTACTGAAGGTTAAACAGTGAACCTGACAGCGAGTTTTAGGGCTGCAAAAGATACAGCCTTTGGCAAATTCTGTAAGAAGACAGACTAGCTCAAAACCTGATCAGAGAAGTAATTTTGCTACTGGAAGAGCCATGTAAAACTTTCCTTGCAAGAATGCATCTTGCCAGGGAAAGTATACTACTAGTCTTCACCAGACAAGCAGTTGGTGGGGTGTGGGATCATCTGTGCCACCTCAGGAGGCCAAGAAACCAAATTCTTCATCCCTAGCTGTGGTTTCTGGGGAACTGGTTTTATGAATAATTGTAGGTGTCTTTTTTGAAGGGAATAGTGATGTTGTTTAACCTGCCAGAAATTTAGGTTGCTGTCTGAGCAAGACCTCAGCCTCAAGATGTAATGACCTCTTTCAAGACCATGACCCATGTTTGCATAGATAAAGTTCCTAAAGCAATAACTTCATCTCACCAGTGATGACATAGTTTTTTGTGTCTCTACAGTGTGCCCATGATTCCTCAATTAAAGAGTTATGTGGCTTCTGAGGGAAGTTGTAATAAGCAGGGACGTAAGTCAGACCTTGAACAGATCTGGCAACTCCTTATAGGAGGAATAAAATCTCAGACCTCCATGTGAATAGCTGGATCCCTGCTGGCCTTACAGGGGGACAGCTTTTAGCTATAAACAGAAATTTGGCTATTTGACAGATAACTGATTCCATAAACTTTTACTGTATTTAATCATAAAGAGGCAGCATTCCTTAAAAACAAACATTAAAAAGGTGTTGAGGATGGACTGCGCTTACATGGGACAGTTACCGCTGTATTAGTCTGTCACCAGCAACTGCAATATAACTGAAGAAACATATTAATATATAATGAGCAACTGTGTCTTCCAGTGAACCATGAGTAGCGCCTTGTACTTATCCTCGAATTGCTGTGCTGAAGGCAAGATTGCAGGGTGGGGAGTAGCAGAGCTCAGATGGATGATAACCGTAACTGCGACAAGGCATGGTAAACAGAACTGTAAGCACATGCTATGGACTGAAGGAGAAAGAACTTCCTCCACATACACTGCTTTGCAAAAAAACAGAAGCTGCTTCATGCCATGTAAGATAGTAACAATCTATAGTACATTTGTAGTCTTAAGACTACTTAAATGTCTACATGTTAACAATGAATAAATACTCAACAGTAATCTTGTTGCCATTTAGATATCTATGTGTTTCGTAGGTTTGGGAGAAGAGAGGGTTGTTTTGTTAGGGGGTTTTGACTCTTAGAGTTCCAAAACTTCACAGTGTTATATCCACTTTGAGGTCAGAACTGAGACTTCTTAACATTCTAGCATGGAGGAAAAACTTGAAGGAAACTTAGCAGTCACATGCTGACAGGTACAATTAACATGTACGAGTTGGGAATGCAGTGTACATTTAAAAACATTTAAAATCTTACATGTGCTATTCCAGTATATAACACCACTTGTAAAGGACCTTTGAAAAGGAGGGTACAGTATTTCAATCCCACATTCTTACTATTGTAGCATTTAGTTTTATAACTAAGAATGTATTTATTATATCTTCCTTCTCGGGGGGGTTGATTTTTCATATTAAAGCAGTTTCTATCAGCCTTTAAGAGGTAGTCTTGGACTGAATCTCACTTGTGTGGCATGGGCAGAAAAGCCAGAGTGGTTTCTAGGGCAATTGAGACCTCTAGTGTCCAGTTCCTTCATTGCATGACTAATTTTTTTTCTCTTGCCTTTTCCCCATTCCAAAGACTAACAAGAAATTGTTAATGTTGCTAATAAAGTGGTATTTAATTCATTGTATAACTCATCCCTTTCAGTTTTTGCCTGTTCATGTTCCTACTGAGGAAGAAAAGAATGATCCCATCCTTTTTGCCAACAGAGTCCGACAAACCATGGCAACGTATGTAATCAGTCCTGAATAAAATCTGTGAGGATTTTTGTTTTATGTCCAGCAATTCCACGTATATCCTAGCCATAAAGTACAATCTGTTCAAGTCCCAGGTACCATTTATGGGAATTACTCTAGATTTCCATAGAGAAGTCAAATTCCTATACTAAAAAACTGGCTATTTTTACATGGTGCATAAAGAAGGTTGTCTCACATATTGAAACATGTCCAGTTCATGGAAAGCTGCAATAAACTTCTCCCTTATTTGCTCGGCAAGAGTAAATGGGTGGTTTGTTCTCCAAGGTTACTGGGGTGCATTTACAGTGCTGTAAATCATGACACTGCCATAATTAGTTTCATAGTATGGTTTCACAAAATGGTATATATTCCTTTATCCTACTTGCAATGGTTCAAGAATGAATGATCACTTGTTTTGTATATTAGCATTAAAGCCAAACTGAGACAGAAAAAGGAAACAGTCAACTAAAGGTCATTTTAATATAAGAAATTAATCTTCTTTTTCTTTTAATTCTGTTTCAGTGCTTTGAATGTGCCAGTCACTGATCACACTTTTGAAGATTGCCGACTGATGATTTCAGCAGGACAGCTGACTTTACCCATGGAAGCTGGGCTGGTGGAGTTCACCAAAATCAGCAAGAAACTCCAGTAAGGGAAGCGTAGCTGTTGGTAGCATAATTACTGCAGTGCGGTGGGTGTAGATGGCCACCTACAAAAGGATTCATTACCTGATACCTGACTTGGTCATATATAATATCACAGTATCACAGTATCACAGTATGTTAGAGATTGGAAGGGACCTCAAAAGATCTTCTAGTCCAATCCCCCTGCCGGAGCGAGAACACCTAGATAAGGTTATACAGGAACGTGTCCAGGCGGGTTTTGAATGTCTCCAGAGAAGGAGACTCCACAACCCCCCTGGGTAGCCTGTTCCAGTGTTCTGTCACCCTCACTGAGAAGAAGTTTCTTCTCAAGTTTATGTTGAACCTCTTGTGTTCCAGTTTGTACCCATTGCCCCTTGTCCTACCATTGTTTGCCACTGAGAAGAGCCTGTATTTATGTATACAATTTACATACATAAACTATGTACAAGTCAGATATGAGAAAAATCCCAGTAAGAACTAATCCCAAGTAATTTTGGGGGGCAGTGTCACAAGAGGAAAAATGCGTTTGTCTAACCTTTTATGGATTTATCTCAACAAAAGGCGAGGAAGGTAGAGCAGTACCTATTTTAGGCACTTGATGGTTATCTTGGTGCCCATTTTGAATAGCTTTAGTGGAGATGCACAGGCAGTATGTGGTAGGAAGTAAAAAAACTTCTTTCCAGCCTGAGCTATCTGCCAGGAGTTAAGGTTCTTAAGTGTACTGTGCAGCTGTGTTTCACTAGTGGTGTCAACTTTTTTTGTCTGGACAGAGTGGAATTTGAGGACCAAGCTGCTTAATCGTACACTAACACCATCAAATAAACTGCAGTGTGCAGTGAATCTCTACCCAAGCATAGAACTGCCAGCTTTTAATATTAATAACTGGGGGGAGCAGTGCTTAATTGCTGATTTCATGTTAAATGTCAGCTTGGAAGCACACAGAATGCTCTGTTTGGCTATTTTTCATCATTGAACGCTGTAATTAACTCCTACTGAAATTCCATCTGTCCAAGATCTGCTGTATAGAAATATCTCCTCTCCCTCATGTTTGCATAGCTTACAATGGAATCGTGTCAGAGAGCAGTTGGATACCTTTGCTGCTATTGCAAGTGCTTCCAAAGGGGGAAGAATTGGAATTGAGGAGTTTGCAAAGTACTTGAAGCTGCCTATTTCAGATGTCCTCAGAGAGTTGTTTCTACTTTTCGACAGGGTGAGTAGCTGGTTAACTCAGATGTTGACAATGTTTTGTTAAAAATCACATCCCAGAAGGATGTTTAATTCACTGTGTCCAACTTAGTAAATGCTTCTTGGTTAGCAATTCCTGTAGGCAAGATAGGTGACTTTTGCAGTTTCCACCTTAAGTTTCGATGCAGAAAGGATTATCAGTTTGTAGCTTGTGAGATGACAGCCATCTCTTGGACCAGGTTGCCACACCACCATCAGGTAATCTTCATGCTGGTAATGGCTGAATATTTCCTTTTCCTTCCCCCAGATTTTGAGCTTATGCACACTCTGACAGCCTAATTAACTGATGTAAGTAGAAAATTTAAGGCAGACAAAGCTGACTAGAGTGTGTGTTCCTGCATATGTGTTTGTGAAGGGTGCTGTTAGACATTATATGGTCTCCTCTTGCCAATCTCCAGCCATAAAGGAGGCTACCATGTTAATTTGATCATTTAGGCTTTCCCCCATAGTTAGTGGTGTTCTCTCATTTTATACTTCTCCCTGAAGATGAGACAAATTGTTCTGTGGATGTGCCACTCTGACTAAACCAGAAGCATCAGTGACTAGAGCAAAGCACAGGATTTATCTTGCTTCTAGGCACCCATTATGTGCTACAGTGCAAGCAGCATGTTGTCCTGCAAGTGCTGATGAGCTAGAGTTCATTTCTTATTGTAGGAACTCTCCCAGCTCAGAGTCACTCCTTGTGATCAAGTTAGCTTTAGCAGCACACCTGTCGCTGGTAGGTCATTCCTGTGTATATGCCAATAAGAACTATTTTGGGAGTTTTCCAGATAAAAAGGTTCTACAAGCTCTAAAATAGAGGAGAGACAAATGCATTTCCTTCATTGCTGAATGCATTTGAAGTTCTAGAAGAGCTAGGTGTTCATCCGTTATTCTTGCCTCCGCATCTTGGACCATTGGCTCCTGTGAACATGTAGTCCAAGTCCTGAAGCACAGTACATAAAATAGAGACATGATGTGGCAACCAAAATAATTAAGGGCAAGAAAGACTCCTTTAACTTTCCCTATGTGGCACAATAGTGACAGTAACTAGAATTAGCAATGTAATGCTGAATTCATTAAAAAATTGAAGGTGTAAAAGACAGCAAGAACCGACAAGACTAATAGCTTTTGCTGCATTCATTTTTAAGGAGATCAGCTTTACTGACGAACAGTCACGTTAACGTGGCAGGGCTCTTTTCAAATTGCTTCAGTTATGATCACAGGTATTTTGAGGTTTCTGCTCTGTGGTTTTAAGCCTCATTGGGCTTTTTTCCACAAAGATTCTTCAAATCGCATAAAGCTAATTATGCACAGAAGAAAAGAAACAGAGGCGTGTCAACAGCTAACAGAAACTACAGAGACCTTAGAGAACTTTGGCACAGCTGCTGACATGCACAGACACGGTGAAGTTTCAGAATGCAGATAAACTGTGGTTTGCCTACGCCTACATCTTAGACACAATACAGCTTCGGAGCATTACAGAAGCACTGGGTCTCTCAGTACCTCCAAAAAGTCTTCACGATGTTCCTTGCCAAAACTTTGCTGAGCGGAGGAAGTGGTAGTGGTCATGGAGGGAGCCTTGCACGTGGCCTTGGAGGTCTCCTGACAGGAGGTGGTCATGGAAGGAATCTTGGAGGACTTGTTGGAGGTCTCGTCAATCTTCTAAGTGAAGCAGCAGCTCAGTATAATCCGGAGCCACCTCCACCTCCACACAATCGTTTTACAAATGTGGAAGCTTACGAGAGTGAGGAGATCAGACAGTTTCGTCGCCTCTTTCTCCAGCTTGCTGGAGATGATATGGAAGTGTGTGCCACAGAGCTAAGGGACATCCTGAACAAAGTCGTTTCCAGACATCAAGACTTGAAAACAGATGGCTTCAGCTTGGACACATGCCGTAGCATGGTAGCTGTCATGGACAATGATACAAATGGCAAACTGGGCTTTGAAGAGTTTAAGTATCTGTGGAACAACATCAAGAAATGGCAGTGTGTTTACAAGCAGTATGATACTGATCAATCAGGCACTGTTGGCAGAGCTCAGCTGCCAGGTGCCTTGAAGGCTGCAGGGTTCCACCTGAATGAGCAGCTTTGCCAAGTGATCATACGCAGGTATGCTGACGAGCATGGCAGCATGGACTTTAACAACTTCATTAGCTGCTTGGTACGACTGGACAGCATGTTCCGGACCTTCAAGTCCCTGGACCAAGATGGAGAAGGACACATTAAAGTGACCATTGAAGACTGGCTAGAGCTGACCATGTATTCATGAAGGTATACTAGAGAAGAAAAGCTTCGTCTGGAAGATACTACAGAAGACTACAATCCTCTACTATAGAATTGTAGTCTTTTCCTTGTTCTAAGGCAGATGTAGCTTGTGGCAGATAGCTCAAAGTGTTGTGGTTCCTCTTCTGCATGCATTAATCTGCTTTTCTGAAGGGTTTGGGTTAGTTATCAGTTGAACAGCTGCATGTCTCATAAAACTATCTCTAGATTCTGAAGTGTGGGAATCAAAACTTAGTTATTCATGTGAAGTGGCTTGTATGCGAATATAACTATTACATAAATGCTCATAAGTTTGGTATTGATGTTACTGTTTTAACTCTTCAGCATTTGTGAAGCTGGAATAAAGCTCTGTTTGCCTAAAGGCAATCACCAGTGAAGAGACTTGCTCAGTTATTTCCAACAAGGGGAAAAACATGAGAATTGCAATGACTATGATGAATTTACATAATCATATTTAATTTCTTTCTTGCTTCTGCTTTTTGATGCTTGTCTGCTGCAGCAAAACCTGAGTGGTATTGTCAGTTCTACCTTCAGGCCAAGACAGAACTGAAGACTTATAGAAGGCTACTTCTACAACCTTTTTCTCCTTTCTACAATTCTATTAACTAGCCTTTTCTCTTTTTCCTTTAAGCCTTATTATAGTTATAAGGAAAACAACTTCAAATACTACATTTATATTTAGAGGAGTTTGCTGTTATAATGCAGTCACATAGCAGAGAGCCAGCCAAAATCAGCCTCTGGCTGAGTTAGATTTTATCAGGGTGCAGCATCCCACTCAGGCTAGTTATGTAGTTCTATCAACTTTTGAGTTAAAAAAACCGAATAACTTGAACTGTCAAAGGTACATTTCTTTGCAGTAAGGATTGATGAAGACAGCCTTTTAACAAGGCAGTTTCTCAGCAGGGCCTTGCTGCTTTACAAGAAAATGGTTTAGGGTGTGTGCTAGCTGACTGGAATGTGCAAGGATGAGTTGAGTAGCACCACAGGCAGTCTGTAATTGTCAGAATCCACACACCCCTGCCCCTCCCCAGGGAAACATCAATGACTAATCGACAAATCCCACACAATACCTGCAGGGCACCTGAATGCTAACAAATGTGTTGTGGTTTGGGTTTGTTTCTAAATTTCTGTAGCTTTGATTTCTACATTTTGCAGTTACACTTGGCAAATAGTATTTTCCAAACTGATGAGATCTTCTCCCTGGTATATATGCATAAGCCTTTTGCTTGCAACTTAAAAAAAAGTAACTTACAACTTTTGCTCAGACTTTTTTCCTCCTGCACTTTTTTTAATACCAAGCTGGGTGACAGAAAGAGTAAAAATACTCATATTGGCCCAAATTTACTACTTTAATGGAAGTAGTATGGCCCTTATTAGCTGTTGAGATGACATGAGTCAGTCCCTTCCTAATGGCATTCACCCTTCTCCCAGTTATTCAGTGGAAAAAAAACACAGCTGTCCACAGTGGTATTTGGGCTCTGAGTAAGAGAAAAGTGAGCACAAGGGAAAGTGTGGTACTTCCATCTGAGCACCATCCTACCAGGTTTGTTTCAGAGGTGCTCTTTCTGACTAGTTAGAACTTGCAACAGGCAGTGGAAATTTTGGAGTTACAGCAATAGGCTATTGCATGAGGAACCTGGGTGTGAGCATGAGAGGTGCATCTGCAGTCCCTCCCCAGATGGTCCAGTTGTAGGTTCTCTGTACTAGCCGTTTAAGTTCCTCAGGGTTTACTTAGCTAAATAGCACACAGACATGCACACTTGATTTTTCCTATTGCCTTACACAGTGAGAAAAAAGATCTGTGGCAGTAGTACTTTAAACTTCATTGACTGCATTTGGCTTGCAACCCTTTTGCAACTCCAAATAAGACTGCTTATGATAATGTAAACTTTCTTGCTTCCCAAAATGTAAGATTTACTGTATTGTATAAAAAAACAAAACCCTAGTTACCATAGCATGCCATATTGAAAATAGTAGAAGAAAACTAGTTTCTGTAAAGAAAAGAGGGCTTGTTGAGGTTACACTCTTTCAGTTATTTTATGAAACATAAATACAAGTATCAAATATTGTTGTTCTGCTTTGCTATTTAGAGAATTGGAGCTCAGCTCATGTGTTGCTTCCTTAAAACATTTAAATGTTTGCACAGGCTGCAAACACAGCTAGATACCTGTAAAAGGACTACTGCAAGTCCTTGTTTGTAGTGATGCTACACAAACACTGAAGGTTCTCCTGCATTTTCAGTTTAACTCCCATCTCTTTTTCCAGACAATAACCCTATCATTTCTCATTAGCCAACATGCCAGAGCATTTGGAAGTTGGCCAGTGATTCTAGGGCTTTGTAGAGCTAGTTACAACATGATCTTGCAAGTATAGTAGCTTGATCTCCTACTCAAATGGCTGAAGTTCTGCATATCAGTCTGCACTCAGTTTTGATTACTTGGTTTTAGCACTTTAATGAAAGTAATATGACCCTTATTAGCTCTTGTCATTTTGCTTTGTGCAGCCGCAGCTGTGTTACTTCAGCAGCTGTTTTTAATGGGACTATTTTAGTTAAAGTTTACTTCCCAATTCTTTTCCTGTGGTACATAGTCTTAACTTCAAAAATAAATCAAAAAAAGAAAAATTGTAATTGCATCAAACAATCCTTTGCTAAGAATACAGTCTACAAAACTGTCCAAAACTAATACTGCATGGAACAATCATTATCTACATTCTTGCCTCAGTTGCTTTAGGAGTTTAGGCTTATAATGATAGTTTCTAAAGTTTGATCTGTTATCTGTATTACGAGAATTGTGAAGTAGCCAAAATATTTAAAGTCAAACTCTGCAGCACAATGAGAGCACAACATTTGTAAATAAAACAGCATTTATGAGAGAACATTGTCCTTTTCTAGTGATTTAAAACTATCAAAAGTTATATCTTGTAGACATACATAGAAATAACGTAGAGACTGTTCATATCTTTGCTAAAATGTTTCCCTAAAATGTACAGGGTTTTGAAGTAAAAGATTCTCAAAGGTTGTGTGTCTTCAAAGGAGATGCAACAGTTGTCTGTGCAGAAGAGTCCTGAGTTGGATTAGAAGGCTAAATAAAAGTGTATCTTAGCAGTTTTGTATCCTGCCAGACATACAGCTTGATAAAGAAAAGTTAGTACTGAGCATAGTATTACACATATTTTGTTAATCAAGAACTCCCTTAAAACCTGAATTCAGTAATGGAAATCCCATTTCATGGAACCCAAGATTAGCAAAGAGCTCCACAGAGCAGCATTTCTCCACAGGCAAACTCCATATTCCACTATTCCAACAGCAGAAAACCAGGAACAAAAAGGTTAAGATTGGTACGCTCAATTAGGCATAAGAAGTTGGTAGAAGAGCCAGGAATAGAATCTAGATCTGGCTGTTCACTACAGATTTACCCAGGAGACCACCCTTCTCTCACGTGGCTGAAAAAGTTTTGTGCTGTTCTCAGACTTAGTCTACTTTGTAAATCCTTTTCTTCTTGAAATGTACAACACATTATCCACAAAGGGAGCTCTGTTTCACGCTTTTGTTTGCTTTTAAAATGGTTTTGATGCATGCCCCTTTTTCTGAATGTTCCAAACTATGAGCTACTAGTCATCTCTGCTGTGCTTTCAGTAACTTCTCTGTGTCCCATCACCTAACACTTAAGATATGTCTCGTCCCCAGACACAGGATGTTTCTCAAAACACAAGATGTTTTCCTAAAGAAACTCGGTGTGGTCAGAGGAACACTACTGCCTTAAGCATGTATTTCAACAGGTCTCTGCCGTTTTCCCTATCCACAAGTATAATACAGCTTACATAGAAAACCTGGTCACAAATTCCATATCAAGGCAAATTTCAGATGTTTTGTTGATGTAGCTTTGTAGTGAAATGTTTGTTCAGATCTAAACTGAACTTAACCAGAGAGATTGTTACAGTGAATTTGTTGCATTTCTGACTCAAAAGGTAGGATAGTGTCTTCGCTTCAAAATAGCATGTAGGGCAACACATTTGCTTCAAAGAAAGGCTTAAGATAGTCCATGTAGAGGTACTGCATTGTCAGGCTGTACTTTCACTAGCATATATTTTATTACTGAAGGTTCTTAGGAAGAATTAACTCAAGGCAACAGCCTCACTGTTGGCATGTTCTAGGATGTTTCATTGGCCTGTGAGTGAGTGCCAGTGCTACAATAAATGTTAGTTACCCTAAACCCATATATTCCACTTCTTACTGGAGGCTTCTTGGAGGTCATATACTAAAGAAAAAATGTGTAAGTTGTTTCATATCTCTTTTGTTTGGGCGTTTACAAGAGAAATGGAGACCAAATTTCTAGCTATTGAAAATACTGTAACATTGCTACTTCAGCCTTTGTATTACATATATTTAGCAATCTGTTAGTATTTTTTTCAGGGAAGAGCCAATACCTCTGGTGCTGTAAACTGTTTTAATGGAAGTTGTATAGCTGATTTATACAACAGCTGTTAAAGTGATCTGCAGTATTAACCGTAACTACTGCCATGTGTGTGTTTGTATACAGAATGGAGATGGCACCATTGACTTCAGAGAATATGTAATTGGTTTGTCCATTCTCTGTAACCCAGCCAACACAGAAGAGACTATTCAGATGGCATTTAAGGTAAGTTCAATTTAGTGTAAATCGACAAATTAAGACTGACTGTAAATCTGTTAGCTTTCAAATCACAAGTTTATAGCTTCAATCTGTTATGCAAATGTGAGTAATACTCTTAAACCAATTGACATTTAGAGTGTGAAGGGGAAGGAGGGAATTGCCAGCATCATGGAAAAGGGTTTCAAAAGCCATGTGAAGGCACTAATGAATATGTAACTTGGCAGGCTAACTCCAAAAATGATTCAGCAGCACTTGCAGTTCTTTCGCCTGAGGTTTTTTCTGCTGTGATTCTTCAGTGTCACAAGCAGACAATAGATGGAGCAATATCCTCTTGTCGGTCAAGTGCTCAGTAGAGTCACTGTTGTTAACAAAGAGGAGGGGGCTGGAAAATCCAAGAAGAGCTATTGAGGACTGGCACATCGGACTGCATCTAAAATCTACTGGCTTGAGCTGTGGTGTGGTGATAGTACAGCAGTTAAGGAGCACTAGCTTGTTTCAAATCTCAGGTACAAGCAGGCAATATGTGATCAGGGATGCCCAGGCTGTGAGTCCCCTGAACAGGAAAATGCTCAAGTGACTTTTTTTTTTTTTTTTTTGGTAGATTTTTGATACAAATTCAGTTGCTTTACCCAGTAATCTGTTATTATGACCTATATTGAACAATATAGGAGATACAGATCGCTTTCATCTTGAGTACTTTTTCGTACTGATGGGTACTTAGGAAGTACCAGAATTTTTATGGCAATCCATTATATACACTGGCTGCTTTACAGATAAGCACTACAAGTGTTCCAAGTGATTTGTGCTTTTTTAGGGATGTTTTATCACCACAGATTCCCATGAAGAAGCAAGCCTAGCACCTATTGTTGCTGTTTCATTATTTTGTTTTCCAGACTGGACTCCAGTATCTTACCAGTTGTGCTGATTATAAAATCAGTAATTTGTCTGAATTCCCAGTTTCAGTAGGAAATGACTGGTTCAGCTGGTAAAACCCTGTTTAAGTCTGAACTAGAACTATGAGGTTCCTTTTGTTACTTGTTTTCTTGGGAAAGTTTGGAAAAGTTTGCCTGTAGCAAGTATTTAAGCATTAGAGCCATCCATCCCTTGTGTTTCTCAAGGAGATTATTCACAGCAGATGCTCACTGTCACTGTGCTGGGAAGGACGGGATGATCGATGTACATCTACTGCCTGCACTTCCAGTCACCAAAATTCCTTGTTAATGACAATAATTCCTTAGTGGGTGGCTGATAACATATACTAAAATTTAGACATTTATGTGAGAACATAAACTATGGCGTTTAATCTGATGGTAGATGTGCCAGAGCTTAATGAAGATGAAGACTAAAATCTAAGATGTTCCAGTATAGGGTGTCAGATTCCAGTAGACCCTTAGCACAGCTCATAGTAAACATAAACCTTTGTTAATGTTTTGTTTTTATCAGTTTTGCATGAGTTTATTACTGAACTAAGGCTGTGAGGTTGGTTTGTTGTTGCAGAATGTTGTAATCCCAATTAAGGCATGTACACTGCTCTGCTGATGTCTGCTAAGTGTCTCTCTTTTCCAGAGAAAACACATAAAATGTTTTACAAGAGAAAGTGGCTGAGACAACCAGTCCCTCTGAATCTAGGCATTGTTTGCAGATCACCTTTTGAATGCTAAAAACCTAATACATATTGCTAACATGCATAGAAGGTTCATAGGCAAGCCAATGCTGAAGTGTTGCTAAATCTTGTTTTCCAGCTCTTTGACCAGGATGAGGATGGCACTATAAAGGAAGATGAGTTTGCTTGTATCATTCGGGCAGCTCTGGGGCTGCCGGAGCTTGATGTATCTATGCTCTTTAAAGAAATAGATGCAGATAAGACAGGGAAGCTGTCCTACGGTAAGTTACATCCTTTTGTAACAAAGAGCACTCTGGTAATCATACTGACAGTGAGAGTTTCTTACCTTTTTTCTCCCTGAAGTTATCTGATGGTTCTCATACTCTGTTTCTGGGGAAAACAGCTGAAGCACAGGCCTAGGTACTTTGTGTGATATGCCTGATATGCTTCAGAGCGGAGTAACTAGAGATCGGCTTCAGTGAAAGGAGTAGGCACTGAAATTTCCTTTGATTCTGTTGCTGCACTATAGTATCTGTGTTTTCTGTATTTTTCAGATGAGTTCAAGCACTTTGCACTCAAGCATCCAGAATATGCCAAGTTGTTCACTACATACCTAGAGCTACAGAGATACCAGTTAGATATGTTGGAGGAGTATAACATTGAGTCACCTGCAGTCAAACACAGTCCAGTTACAAAGAGTACAGTCCCAATATCAGAAACACCAATCGCAAGAAATAAGGTCTGTCCTGAAGGCAATGAAGAGGATAACTCGACTACCTCTGACAAAAAGGATGACTGAGAAGAGTTGAAGAATTCAGCTGTTGAATTCTACAGGGTTATTTCTCCTAGCTATTCATAAGCACAACTGATATAAAATAGAGAGGGAAGGTACAATCTAAAAAACTATATATATGTATTTTTTTTTTTTCACTTTCGTATCGGGAGAAGTTATTCCTGTTTGAGTGTAAGGGAGAAACCACTGTAACTATTCTGTCCTTAATGTCAGGATCACAAATGCTGGGGATGTTGTTCACTGGCTTCCAAGTTCATGCTTCCACAAAAGTAACACGTGCTAGCAGGGGTTAAGAGGCTCCAGCACTGCAGTGGCCTCTCAGGATGGAAACTGAGGATCCACTTGTGTAAAAACAAGTGGAATCTTTGGTGCTGCTCAATTCCTCTGCATCCCCAACTTGTCTTAAGGGGGGGAAATGATGCCAGAGTGATTTAATTTGCAATATCACTTAGCTCTTGTCAGGGCCCTGAGAGACAGGAAGAAATTACAAGAAGTTGAGCTGAAGCTGATGTTTTCTTTTAGCTGTCCTTAGATTTCCCTTAACTGCTCCTTAACTATAAAGCCTAAGCTTCTGAACGAGCCATGCTAATCCACTGATGTTAACAGAAACAGATTTAGGCTTAAAGGCTAGTTAAAAATGTAAATGGCTGTGCTTCTAACAACAAAAAACCTAATGGGAATTCCAAGATAGCAGGTCACAGTCCACAGGAAAATGCAGGCAATGAGACCCAAGAATTAATCCACTATTTAAAAATAAATAGAACATTGTGTGCAGTAACTATCATTCAGGATCACATTAGGAGGAACATTTCAAACTTCAGCATATTTTTTATTCTACTGATTATCAACAGAGGAATGTGACCTTGCTCTGCAAAACTTAAAAGGCAAATATGCTGTCAAGCCATAGTTCGAGTAGTTAGTATCTATTCTAAAGCTGTCTCCTGGAAGCCATGTATGTATGTATTACTGTGCATTACTCAATGTGTTCCTAGGGTTTAACTAAAAAACATACTCTGTTTTGTTAGTGATTTGAGTATGTTTTGCCTCAGTCCCCTATAGTGCACTGGAAGTTGGGCCTTTACCTTTTTCCATCCTTTATCTGAGTGCACTTTATACAGTATTTAAATATATATAGGTATTTATGCAAATACTTCTAATTAAAAACTTAATAGGGGTGTAGTAACAATATATTTTTAAATTAAAACTAAGATGAGCAAACCCTAGAATGTCTAGTACCAAAGATAACCAAGTGTCAGCAGGTTTTCATACGTGAACTGGTAACCTCTGCCTGTAAGTTACTGCTTGCTTTGTCTGGCTGCAAGCTCATCGCCATGTTTAATCTTTCTATATTTATAATTGTGCCTATCCTGATGTTTCATGTGCTTAAAATAAATCTATATTTTTAAAATATTTCACCTGAACAGCTGTCTTTCTAGTAGAGTGGGAAGGGTATTCTGTATACCTTAAGGGACTGGGGGGCTTTGAAGAAAATCATCTTCATTATGTCTTACTTTGGTAAACACAATGCAACCGGTAGTGGGCATTCCTGGCTCTGAGTGTGCTGGCACTTCTCTTTATGATAAGGCTAGGAAAGTAGGACAGGAGTGATGCTCTTCCAAAGAGTTACTTCTGTTCATTGCCTCAGCAAGAGGGGATATGATGCAAGGATTTGCAGGTATGTGGAGAGATACCTCTGTTTTCTGACAGAAAATAAGGTATCTGATGGAAAATAACACCTCATTTACAGGTACAATGAGTGAACTCAACCACAGCTGAGAAGTAACAATCATGTCTTTGTGTAATATAAGCATTAGGAGAGGATTTTCTTTCACTTTAGAGAAGGAGAAGCAGTAGTTACCCTAAGGTGGCTGTACAGTTAGCTGCAATGCATGTTAATTCCGTGGCAAGGGCACTTTCACCTAGCACACTAGCCAAAGTCCTTAGCTTCTCAACCAGCAGTAATCTTTTCAAAGACAGCTTTATTCCAACCAGTAAGAAAAAGGTGGGTGGGCAAAAACAACACAGACAAGCACATCAAGGTCTTGGAATCCCAAGGGTTCCTTACACATGCTCCTGTTGAGTCTAGCCACATTCAACAACTGGAGCACCATGCTGGCCAAAATGTAGCATGTTTAGGACTATTGATTTTACAAAAACCTACAAGTCACACAAGCACTTTGCAATTAAAGCTAAAAATACTGTGTACGTAAATCTATATATCCCAATAGTTTAAGGAGGAAAGGCCACAAATGGCCTTGGTATGTAGCAGTGATTCAGCTGTGCTCTGAAAAGAAATGAGCTAAATGTTACAGACACTAACTCAATATACACACATCTGCTTGATGTGCAGGAAGGGAATATATTAATTTCTAAGCTTTATTGTGCCTCAGGGAGATTTCAAAGGACCAAACTAAAAGCAGTCTGCAGTAAAAAGGCATTACATTAAGTGCCTTAGGAACTAACAGAAGAAGAAGGTTAAAAATACTAAACAGAAAATGGTTCTCAATCAGGCATTGAGGGATGACACCTTTCTGCCTGAGACTTCCTGAGGTATGAGTTCTTAAGTCTATGGGCTGCTTAAGGATCATTTTGAGTCCTGCACTATAGAGCTAGTAGGTGTATTTGTTACCATAGGGAACGTCATTTATTTAATCAGTACTTCTGTGTCATGCTGTAACATGGATTTGCTGATAAATCCTTCACAGATACCAAAATAATGTAATTCTGTAATGTATACAGAAGGTCTAACAATCTTGACTGAACAGGACTCGCCTATTACAAGAGGAATACACAACTAATTCTCAAGAACAGAGGCCCATGGGCTGCTGTTTTTCATGGTTTCTGATAAGTATGTACAGACACCAAGAATAAATCTTACTCATCTTTTTTAAAATCAAGGCTCCTGTTTGTGAACACATGAAAGGTAATAGCAGGTCACCTAGAAAAGTGAACCTTCCTTATTCACCCTGGAACAAGGAAGATATTAATACTGTAAATCCTGATCAATTTGCTTAAGGAAGGTGAATCAACAGGGTCTCCACTGGCCACACGACAGGTTGATTTCCTAGGGAAAGATCCTTCAAGCCAAGAAAATTGATACTGTGTTTGTACTTTCTGTGTTGTATAACACAGCCAGGTTTCATGTCAGATCATACTGCTACAAGATCTGGCCCTACATTGACAAAATCACATAATACTTGGCTGGTTGCTGTCCATCAGTAAAACTATGAAGAGCAGTAACACTTTGATGGAAAGCATCCAAAAAAGAATCTCCTATTTTCATAGTCAATAGCCATGCAGCATCAGCCAGAGGTACCAAGCCAGGCAGTGCCTGCTTTTGTACTCATCTACATCAGAACAAGTTAGGTAACAAATTATATTTCCACAATTTTCCTGTAGGGGTTACCTCCTCTTCTTCATCAGCTTGCTCCATAATGTGTGTGGGGGGGAAAATTCTGTGATTCCCAAATGGTTTGCAAGGGAGATTTTGCAGGACAGCTGTGTGCTCCACCTCTTCAATCCCTCTCAAGAACCCAGCAGGACTAGGAGCCCTGGGAGTCAAAAGAGGGTCATGTTGTGTGACAGGTCTAGTGACTGTTCATAGGATTGCTGCACAGGGTCAGGCCTGCTTGGCCACAACTGTCATCTACCCAGCAATTCTCGCTTAAAACAAAGTGTTCTCTGGGTATCAGAAGTCCGAGAAACTTTTAATGACTTCTTTAATATGGTGGTCAGCACACTAGGGCCCAATTGCTGGGTAATTCTTCAGACACTGTTCCAGTGCAAATAAATACACCATTCTGCCTGAGCAGGCTGCTGGTGGTGTTTGCATAGGTGCCAAGGGCTACTCAGAACTCATGGATGTGGAAAATTAGGGCCTGCAGCTTGGAAACCAAATATAAGAAAAGTCCCCTCATACACAAACACACCCCCAATTCCTCTGTGGACAGTCTGCTTGTGAATTTGAACTTTGGCCATAGCCTTTAACAAGGAAAGGAGCCTGAGATTTCATGTTGAGAATTACACAGCTCTCACTTTGAGAATGCCACAGGAAGAACAACTCAAATTCGATATTAAAGAAAGGCTTGGGAGATTTGCAGTTATACTGTGTACGATTTACTAGGAAGGCTGGACTGGTCAGTGGTCTTGGCTTACATTTTTCCTATCAGTTTTGCATCCCTTGAACAGCCTACCTTTCCCTCTACTTTCTCCCTCCATATTTCCACATAAAACATAGCTACTACCATTAAAAGACTTATTCCACTGATTAAAGTTAAGAAATGGTAAGATTAAACATAAAAATCGCTGAATTGGGTGGGATTCAGGGAGCACATTCAGCATTCAGCTACTTTGACTGGTCTGCAGTAAAAGCGAACTTGTCAAAGGTTGCAAGGGATTTTAATAACATTTAATTAATTAATTTCAAATCTTTACTCAATGAAATGACATTTATTAGACTGACTAGCAGTAGGAGACGTTTGTCAGCAGTGCTTAAGTTGGCAGACTCTCTGTTACTATACATAGCCAGAGAGGCAGAAAGTAAACATCTTATAGGATTAGCAGCTATGTTCATAGCTGAGATGAAATTTGGACATTTCATTAGTATAAGATTGATTCTGACATTTTATAAAGCCAAAATGCAAACAAAAAACCACGTCTGATATAAATGCAGTATGAAGCACTGACTCAGATAAAGTTCAAGAAGCGCAGCAGGTTTAGTGCCATGACAAAGGAAATATATAAGGGTCATTTAAGGACCTAACTTCTGCTAAGCACTTAAGTGTATGTTTAATCCTGTGGGCATCAACCAGATACTCGGTACTTACTAAAAGCACACAATAGTACTAATAATCAGAAAACAGGAAAAATTTCCATGGCTAGTTATTGTTAATGGGTAAGAATTACACCACTCTCACCAAGAAAAACAGTATCACAATTAATTGCGTATTTTGGAAGTTTAAATTAGCATGCCATCCTCATAACGTAAGACATTCTGTAATAACCACAACCTGACTTTAGAGACACATGACAATGTTGTACTAGGAAATACTTCATTAACTGAGGTAGGCACTGCCTACTGTTGCTTTTTTTAAGCCCTCTGGGCTACAACAGGTTGAAAAACATGCACCTTCTCTAATACATTACCATGCAATTACAAGCTTAAGTGCTGAAAGTAAATGAAAGATATGAACTTCTTTTCATCAGTTAATTTTTATTAGACAATCCAGAAAATCCTCTATTGAAAATCTTCTTTTGCATGAGGTTTAAACGAGGTTCATCTTTTAAATTATGCCTGGATGCACATTGCTTTGCTCTAAAGTGGCCATAGGTAAGAATGCATTTCCCTAGTTTCTCCAAGTCTCCTTGAGTGTGTTATCTCCTGAGGTTATGCAATGGCTGCATGAGGCTCTCTCTTCAGGAGTATAACAATACTATGACAGGAACCATTCGAACTACCCATGGGTTTTATAAAGGAGATGGGAAATTTTCTAGGAATTGCAAGTGGACTTGAAGCATTTTAAGACTTATTACTTAGTTTTCTTTTCATTGTGAATTTGATTTTAACAAAAATATCCAATAAAAACATGTGAAAAAAATCATTCTCTTCCTATACACACAGCAAACAGAATTTGTTTGCAGAAGTAAGAATTCATTAGACTAAATCTGTCATTAAAGGTCTCCACAGAGGGAGCCTTCACAGCCTTGCCAGACAATCTAGTGCATTGCTTAACAATTTTTCCTATTAGAAAAGTTCCTCTCACTGTCTAACCTGAATACTTCTTCAGCTGAAGACACCAGGTCCTGTGTTCACCTTGCTGAAGGAGAATTGGTGCTTACTTCTCTGCAGGGTAACTATTTATATCTGTATATACCTATACCCAGAGCGTATCACCATGCCTGTTTCACCCTTGCGTCTCCCAGCCTGTCTTTCTTGAGCCAAAAAGCAAAACCTTTCTTTCTTGCTTGCTTTAGATCCAGCCCCACTATTCCCTAACAAACTAGAAGGCTTGTCTTCCAGAGTTTTCAGTGAGCATTCCTGCTCAGACACAACCAGTGGGAGTTTTGGCTCTTCTAAAACAGCACCGTATTGCCCATTGACATACAGCTATCACTGATCTGTAAAGTCTAGATCCCCTCCTAATGAACTGCTCCTTAACCAGGTTCCCTGCTTCTCTCTTCCTACAATTGCTTATTCCTGCCTACTGCAGCATCTTAGCTTTATCCTTATTGAATTTAAAAGAGCAGTTTATCAAAAACATTTTGATTAGCTTAGATTATTGTTAAAAACAACTTTCTCCAATTAAAAAAAAAACCCCATATATATTACTTCATTTTGTTAAGGACATTATCTTCCTAAAAAATTACTAAGCATCTGACAGTGCACTAGAAGCAAAGCACTACAAATTAGA